TAAATGCTTTAATGTTATTTCTTTTAAGGTATTGTCTGTATGTTTTTATAATATGTGTAACATTTGTGCATAAGTGATAGCTGCATGTATGTTCAAAATACATTACTGAACGGAGTGCGTGATCTAGAGAGTTCGGAGACCCTGGCTCCACACTGCCACTCCAGAAATCCTCTCCAAAGCAGCGGGTCTCAGAGAGGGAAGCAGCAGGACCACCCTGCTGCAGCTGCCTGAGAGGCAGCCCAGAAGCTCCCTGGGTGGGAGGAGTAACCCAGGGGCACCCAGAGTGGCTGCTCTGCGGGGTCAGCCCACGTTCCATCGGGTTCTGCCGCCCTCTAGTGGTCGGCGCGGTGAACTGAAAGAGCGCTTCCCTGGGGAGGACACTGAGGGAGGAATGGAGACGCAGACAGGGAATTAGAAAAGTGGACAGGAGCACAGGAGACCGCACACAAATCCTGCACGCTGCACGATTCCTGGTCTATGAAGTTAAAGAACAGCAAAATGCATGAGGAGACCCTGACCTGCTGAAGTCTAGTTAGGACAGAAAAGGGACACCCGCAGTGTCCCAGGGTGGTGGGGCTTAACTGAAGTCCTTACATTTTTTGTTTCTTTGTTTGTTTGCTCTTTTGTTTGAGGGGGCAGTTAGGTTTTTTTATTTATTTATTTTTAATGGAGGTACTGGGAATTGAACCCAGGGCCGCATGCCTGCTAAACACAGGCTCCACCACTGAGTTGTACACCCCCTGTGAAGGGCATCTGGACTTCCTGAAGAGTTAGCTCTTATTCATTTTCTTTATTACTTCTATTTTATTTATTTTAATACAATAATATTCATTTTAAGGATAAAACTGTGTTTGCTTAGAAGAATATTCGGACGTCAGCATCTCTGTCCAACCAAATCCCCACTCATTGGTCTGTCCCATAATGCTCCCCAAACTCACTGTTCCCCTGAAGCCTGGGAAGGTGAGGATGGACCCCTCCCACACCCTTCCCCACCCAAACACACACACACACACACACACACACACTCACACACACACACTTCCTGACTTTGCAAAAGACCCAGTCTTTGCTCTGCCATTTCCCCCAAAACAACAGCTTTCCCCCTCCACCTGCCCCATCCCCTTCCACCTCTCCTGGCGTCCCTGCTGAAAGGTTACAGGACACACTCCCTACACTCACTGGCTCAGTGCGCATTTATTGACAGCTGCAAGCACTCGGAGAAGACAAAGTCTCCTGCCCCAGGCAGCCTCACAGCCTGGCCACCTGACAGGACACGCGGTGAAGTGGAGAAAAATCACAAAACAAGACAACCCTCAGGTACTGAAGAGAAGTCACACCTCAGGGAGACGTGGGCAGAGCTCCTGGAGGAGTGCCCCCGATTTCAGCTTTGGTGCCCAGGGAAACTCCGATATCCCTGGAACAAAACTGAAAATGGCAGGTCAGAGCCTGACCTCTCTGAGGAGGCGTCTTCCTTGCTGAGAAGGCATGGGCTCCGGAGAGCTGGAATCAGAGGTTCAAAGGTGGAGGGAGGTGTTAAAGGCTGAGTCCCAGGAAGGTGGGGGATGAAGCTGAAGACTCTACCAGGTGGTGGAGGGGACCGCAGGCCTCGGCCACTCCGATGTACGCACAGCCATCCTACACCCCCATCAGCTACTCCAGGTGCCCGTGTTCAGCAGCCTTCCCACCACCCTCCTCTCCAGCCATGGAAGAGTTCACTGCTACTATCATTCTTGGTGCGTCCTCTATCAGCCAAGGCAATCCACTCACCACTCCGTCACACCCTGACCTTGATCGCCTCATCCAATGACAATGTCCTTCCTGCACCGCGCCTCTTGTGCCGCAGTCATGCCTTGGTCTTGTCATTACCTGGACCTGTAACATCTCCATGATCTCAGCTGTAAGTATCCCACACTGCTCAACACCTCCCGTCTCTGCACATCACTCTCTCCCCTGCCCTCTCGCCAGCAATTTTTATACTCCCCAAACCTCTCATACTTTCTGTCCCCTCACAACCCTCCTTCTTCACTGTTTCCCCTCATCCTCTGTCTAATGCACAGACACCAACACAGAGTCAAGGAAAATAAATAATCAGCCAAAGATGTTCCAGACAAAGGAGCAAAATAAATCTTTAGAAAGTGGACCTAATGAAATGAAGCTATGTAATTTACCTGACAGAGAATTCAAAATAGCTGATGTGTATTTTCCTTAACAGCCAGCGTGCTATTTGTAATAAATGCATGGCTTATATATGGTCATTATTTTGGAAATATTCCACAAACCCTTACACAGCGCTCCCTTTGAATATAGTATGTGTTTAATAAATAGCATCCATTCATCCAAAAACAAACAAACAAAATAGGTGACTAAGAAGCTCACCCAGGTCAATGCCTGAATAAAGTGAGAATTTCAACCAAGAGGTAGAAATATTTCAAAATACTAAACTGAATTAACAAACTGGAGAACACAATAATCAAACTGGAAACTTCATTAGAAGGGTTCAACAGACCAGATCAAGCAGAAGAAAAGATCAACAGAGAGTGAAACCTCTGAGCTATATCCTCCACCCATGGCTTAGGCCCATTAATACAACTTGACAACCAGCCTTGCAAAGGTTTTGACTCATAAACTGATTTAGCCTAAGCTGCAAAAAAGTGCGCTCCTTTTCCTGAACTCCCGGTCTCAGCACCACATCCCCCTGCAGAGTAACTGGGAAGTATCCCAGATTCCGTTTTCAGGGCCACGTGCATTCCACCTGTACCGAGGCCTGTTAGTTCTGTCTCCTATCCACAACCCCTCCATTCCACCCTTCCCTGAGAACAGGATTCCTAGACTTTTCATCTGAATGACTTAGTCTCCTGTGGGTCTGCCTGTATCTTCATTCTCCACAGTAGAGTAACCTAAAAACTAAAACTTTTTTTCTATGAGGTTGTTGGGTTTTGTTTATTTCTTTGTTTCTGATGTCATAATTCACCTGCAACACTATGTTAGTTCCTGGTGCACAACATAGTGATTGGATATGTCTATCC